ATGGTTGTTTTTACCCTACAGTAGGCAATTTCTTATTATTCGTTCATCACCATTTGTATTGATGTTATGCATATCTTGCAAGATTTGGAAAGTGGAAAACAATATTTGCTATGGAACAAAAGAAAGAGTACAATATTGTAAATTGATTTGTTACTTGTCTTGTACTTAGCAAAAACATCTGCCGCATCTGGAATGCCACAGGGTCCTAGTGTGCAACTTCAGTCATTGCTCCAACATTCTGACTGTTGAAATATCTGAGCCAAGATGCATTGTTCTGGATACCTAATTACGACTAAATATCAAACCCACAACAAAAAGAATATAAAAGTTCATCATTTATTAGTTACACAGATACAATAAGAAATAAAGTGTCACGGTCAATAGATATTTTCCAGGTCGGAGGAAGGTTTGTATTGGAGTGGTCAATATTGTGACTCTTGTTTTTCCTGATATATTTTAATAATCTAGATCTTAGTGTACAGGAGACAATTTCAAAATTAATGGATAATACAAAACTTGGAAGTATTCTAAACCGAGAACTAAAGGACAGCAACAAGCTGGTAGAGTAGGCAAATTGGTGGCAGACAAAGATCAAAGCAGGGAAGCGTGAGGTGACATATTTTGCAAGGAAGAATATGGACAGACAATATAAAAGTAGATACACAACAGTTAAAAAGGGGGACTGGAGCACAGGGAACCTGGGCATGTATATATAGAAGATAAAAGATAGAATTCGCACAGGCCATTCGGCCCAACAAGTCCACACCAACCCTCCAAACAGCATCCCCGTAACCCTGCATTATCACCGGCTAACGCACCTAAGCTACACATGCCTGAACACTGGGTAAGTTTAGCACAGCCAAACCACCTAATTTGCATGTCTTTTGACGGTGGGAGGAAACAAGCACCTAGCAAAAAACCCACACAGACAATGGAGAGAACATACAAACTCCAGACAGGCAATTACCTGACGCTGGAATTGAACCTGGGTTTGTGGTGCTGTGAGGCATCAGTGCTAATCACTGAGCTACTGTGCTGTCCAGGCATGCACACATCACAAAGTGGTAGAGAGCAGTTAATAAAGTATTGAGTATCCTGGGCTTTATTAGTAAGGGCATACAACACAAGAGCAAAAGAGATTATGCTGGCTCAGTTGGAGTGGTGTGTATAGTTCTGGGTGCCATGTTGTGAGGTTGTGAATGCATTGGAGAGTGCACAGAAATTACTCCATAGATTAGAAATTTAAATGGAGGACAAATTGGGACTGTTCTCCTTGGAGAGAAGGAAGTTTAGAGGAGTTCCGATAGTTTTCAAAATTATAAAAGGTCTACATTGAGCAGATAGGGAGAAGCTGTTCACGTTCCTAGAGGGACCAAGATTGAAAGGGAACACATTTAAAGTGACATGAGAGCACTAATCCAGGGAAATTTGGCAAATTGGATCCAAAATTGGCTCAGTGGGAGGAAACAGGTGATGGCTAAAAGGGTGTTTGCCCAACTGGAGGCCTGCGTTCAACGGCATAGCATAGAGTTCAGTGCTGCGCTCCTTGCAGTTTGTTGGGTATATTAAAATGATCCAGATGAGAATGCAGGCGATCTGATCAATCAGATCGCAGATGATACAACAAATGATAATGTGGTAAATATAAAAGAAAGATCAAAGGTCAATATAAACGGACTGGTCAAAAGGTTAGAACAGTGACAGATGGAATTTAATCCTGAAAAGTTAGATATCTTGCATTTTGGGAGTATGAACAAAGAAAGCACAATGATCAATAGGACCCTGGGAAACAAAGAATCAGAGGGATCTTTGTGTGCATACCCACAGATCCTTGAAGGCGGCAGAACACATGGTTAAGAAAGCATCCTTGACTTTATTATTAGCCAAGGCATTGAACACAAGGTTATGATGAGCTCACAGCTGGAGTACTGAGTGCAGTTCTGGTCATCACCACAACAAGAAGAATGTGACTGTGACTGTGACTGCAACTGCAACAAGAGACAGTACAGAAAAGATTCACCAAAATGTAGCCTAGGCTGGAACAATTCAGGTATGGATCTAAACTAGATAGACTGGGGTTGCCTCTTTTGTGCAAAGGTAAACAAAGTGAAGTTCTGACTGAGGTTACCAAGTAGGAGGTGCATATACAAACAGGGTGAGATAAGAATAAACATTTCACCTTAGTAAGAGAGGTCAATAACCAGCTTTAAGGTCACCCCTACCTGCTAAATCAGAGGTAAGGCCACTACCAAAAAGTCATAATTCTCCATAGTGTCATATAAGCCAAGTCGATTAAGGTATTCAAGAAACTGGATAATTATTTGACTTGAAATAATGAGCAAGAGAATGGGTAAAGGTCGACAAATGCCACTAATTCATAATTCTCATGGAGAGCACGCTGGGTCACTCCTCCTACACTGCAACAATTGTACAATTCTGTCATACCAATAAATGAGATATTATAAACATTAGCAAAAACTGGGGCCTTTTTTATCCTGAATAAAGAACGATGCTCAATAGCAAAGTAACTGCTTGGGATAATCTCAAAGAATGAAGGAATTTTATTCAGTTTGATTTTTGGTGCAGTGCATTCCAACAAGTAGGGTTAGAAGAAAAAATAGGTGCTTGAGGTTAATCAACTTCCCAACAAATTAAACCTCTGAAAACTTTTAACTCAACCTTTCAGTTAAATCAGGGAAAGCCAGCATGAATTTATGACAGGTAGGTCATACAAAAAAATTGAATGAGGTTGTCAGGTAACAGGTGACTAAGGTAGAGAATAGGGAAATGTCATGGATGTTGTTTATTGGAACTTCCATAAGGCAGTTAATGAAGTCCCATAAAAGAAACAGACTGTTAACCAAAGTAGAAGTCCACAGAACTGAAGGCAATTTACTAACATTTCTGGGAAAGTATTTGACAAAAAGAGACAGGAAGTAGGGTTGATAGGTAGGTAATTAGCAGTGATGTCTCACAAGGAACTGTGTTATGGCCTAATTATTTGTTTTATTTATTAACAACTTGGATAACGGCCTAAAAAGTTATACATACAAATTTGCTGATGACACAAAGTTAAGCAGAGTTATAGACAGTATAGACAATAACAAAATTAGAAAGGGACATGGAAACGCTAAGAGAATGGGAAAACTGTAGCAGGTACAGTTCAAAAACAGAAGTTGCGGGAAAAGCTCAGCAGGTCTGGCATCATCTGTGAAGAAAGAAAGTCAGAATTAACTTTTCAGATCCAGTAACCTCAGAACCTGTTCTGAAGGGACACCAGGCCTGGAACGTTAATTCTGACGTTTTTCTTCACATGCTGCCAGACCTGCTGAGCTTTTCCAGCAACTTGTTTTTGATCCTGATTTACAGCATCCCCAGTTCTTTTGGATTTTGTTCAGATACAGTTAAAGCTAAGCAAGTGTAAAATTATCCATTTTGGACAGAAAAAGAATATATCAGGGTACTTTCTAGATTTTAGGGAATTAAATACAGTGGCTGTCCAAACAGACTTGACAGTTTAGGTGCATAAATCTTTAAAATGCCATGAACAAGTGCAGAAAATAATCAAGGCAGCAAATGCAATGCTGTCCTTGATATCAAGAAGGCTTTCCTGCAGCTGTACAAAACACTGGTCAGACCCCACCTGAAGCACTGTGCACTAGCGCAACTGAGCACAACAGCTTGGATAGGATATATTGGTCTTCGAAGGTATGCAACGTAGGTTTACAAGAATGATATGTGGACTTCAGGGACTAAATAATGAGGAGACATTAAACAAATTTAGCCTGTTTTGTCTAAATTTGAGACAGTAAAAGTGTGATCTGATCAAAGGCTTTAAGATATTAACAGGTAAAGACAGGGTAGAATATGATAACTGTTTCTACTGGTTGTGGATTCTAGAACTAAAGAAGATAGTCTAAAAATTAAGGTTACACTGTTCAGATGTTAAGGAGCACTTCTACACACAAAAGGTGGTAAAAGTATAGAACTCTTCTACTAATGGTAGTTACTGTTAAATCTGTTGTTTATTTTAAAGCCGACAGATGAATTTTTGTTTGGCAAAGGTATTAAGGGATATGGGCCAAAGCCAGATGCAGAGTTAGGTCACAGATCAGCCGCCTCACTGAATGGAGGAACAGGGCCAAAGGATCTGAATGGCCTACTCTTGCTCCTATGATATCATTGGCAATTGCTAGTGTAGCTGATAAAGTAAGCCACATGACAGACCAATTAGGGCAGTGAAAAGGAAACTGCAGGCACAAAGTTAAGAATGAGAGAACAGAAGGAAATTCTACAATACGTAAACTGTGCAACTTTGCTACTGCCAGCACAAAGTAGAATAAAGTCATCAAGAAACTGAGGCAATGGTTTCAATTAGTGTCCAGTGCCTCCAAGTAAAAAGTATTATTCAGTAAAGGCATGGCTGCAGCTGATATAATTGTCCCTCAGACAGCATGAAGTAAATTTGAATAATGTCATAATGTTAAAATGGCATGGGTGAAAGTGGCTTTGACTTCCAGCAATTCTTGATTGCCGAACTGTTTTTCTAACTCCTAAGGTTTTACTGAGAAATGTTTATGAAAATGTAAATCTAGGTCAATTATTTTATAAAAATATTGATGTTGCATTCAGTTTTCTCTTTAAAAAAAGCCTTGAAAACAAAAGTTGCACATTTTGGTAAAAATATAGGTAACTAAAATATTCTGCAGAACTTCACTGAGTGACTCAACTGTTGCTTTAACTGTCAAAGCAAGCAAAACAACTAACTGCAATATCAAGTGTTCATTTAAAATGCTGACCCCTGCTACTTTATGCACGCTTAAACAAATCATTTTGTAGCAGACCACAGCATCACAACTTCCTCTCCAAACACACAGCTAAGCGCTCAGTTACAAGCAATATCACAGCCTGTCCATTTGGAGTTAAAAATGTCTAGACAGTAAAGTTTTAGAGAAATTATAAGAGATTGTTCTTTCAATTAAAAGCAGCACAGTACTCACCATCATTTTTTCAAAGAGATCTAAAATTTCTTTCTCAGAAAGATTCATAAAACATTCCTCAAACACTGGTTGGGCTAGTGGTAAGTCACACATGGCTGTTTGGGAATCAGTAGGATGTTGTATGTGAGGTTTCTCTTTCTTCGTAGTTGACTTTCGAAAGCTGGTTAATCTGTCACGCTGTCAAAATAAACACATTATATTAAAATAATTTCAAAGATTTCTAGATCTATATAATTGTCTAAAGTATTTTATTTCAAGCACATTAGTTACAAAAGCATGCATACTTCCAGTGGTCTATAAGATACAGCTTCATGCTTTATTTCTGAAAAGCAGCAAAATTGAAGAGTCAAGTATCAAAATTAAAGGCTACACCTTACCTTTAAACTGTCCATGAACAAAATAAATTTGTTTTTCAAATTAGTAGGCAGTTTAGATACACAGACCATCTTGAAAATCAAAGTTTCATTGAAAAAACATGCAGTTAGCGTTTGTTGTAAAATATTATTTTTGGCCTTGTTCCAAAAAAAATGTTCCTTTTAATTGAAGAGAAGATCAACAACATGAAACCAAATAAAGAATGATAGATCGTATCAGGCTGTTGCTCCCACAAGCTTATTTCCTCCTACCTTGACTCCATTCTCTCTCCACTTGTCCAGAACATGCCCACCTACATCTGCAATTCCCTAGGTCATATTGACAATTTCCAGTTCTCTGGCCCTAACCGCCTCCTGCTCACCATGGATGTCCAATCCCTCCATACCTCCATTCCCCACCAGCATGGTTCGAGTGCTCTCAGCTTATTCCTTGACCGGAGGCCTGAACAATCTCCATCCAACACCAATCCCCTCCGTTTGAATGAACTTGCTGTCTCACTGAACAATTGCTCCTTTAATTCATCTGCCAAGCCAAAGGCAAAGCTATAAGCACCTGCCAGTATCATAGTTATGCCTGCCTCTTTTTGGGTTGTGGAACAATCCTTGTTCTAGTCTTACACTGGCCCCCTCCACAACTTTCTTCAGTACATCAAAGGCTGTTTCGGTGCCACTTCATGCTCTTATCTGTGCCTGGAAAAATTTGTTCATTTTTCCTCCAATTGCCACCCCTTTCTTTCACATCATCCTTTCCTGACATTTCCCTTCCTTTCCTTGACCTCTCCATCTCCATTGCGGGGAATAAACTGTCCACTGCCATCCACTAGAAAGTCACTGACTCCCATAGCTACCTTCACTACAGCTCTTCTCACCCCACATCCTGCAAGATTCCATCCCATTCTCCCAGTTCATTCGCCTACATTGTGTCTATTCAGATGATGCCACCTTCCAAAACAGAGCTGCTGATATGGCTTCTTTCTTCCGTAACTGTAGTTTCCTGCCCACTGCAGTTGGCCGTGCCCTCAACCCCCAACCTATCACCCATGCTTCTGCCCTTGCCCCTTCCCATCACAACAGCATGATTGGGTCCCCCGTTCTCACTTTTCATCCCACCAGCTTCTACATTCAAAAGGATCATTCTCCACCACTTCAGACAACTCCAGCAGAATGCCAAACATATTCCCCTCTCCCCATCCACATTTTGCAGGGATTGCTCACTCCAGGACACTAGTCTATTCCTTTCTCCAATACCAACACCAGCATCCCTTCTAATGTCACCACAGAAGGTGTAACACCCGCCCCTTCACCTGCTCCCTTCTCACCATCCAAGGGCCTAAACAGTCTTTCCAGGTGAAACAGAATTTCACCCTTACCTCCTCCAATCTTGTCTATTATACTTGCTGCACCCAATGTGGTCTACTCTACATTGAAGAAACCAAACGCAGACTGGGTGACCGCTTTGTAAAACGTCTCCAGTCCATGCACAAGCATGGCCCCGACCTTCCCGTAGACAGTCATTTTAATGCAGCGTCCTGCTCGCATGCCCATGTCTGTCTTTGGCATGCTACAGTGCTCCAGCAAATCACAGCAAAAACTGGAAGAGCAACATATCTTCCAACTAGGCAATTTACAATCTTCTGGGTTCAATATTGAGTACACTACCTTCAGATTGTGAACTCATTCCTTCCCTTTTCGTTTTGCTGGTTACATTCTCTGTTGAAGTCCTCTCTCCGCAACTTCCATTCCAGTGGGACTGTCTGTTCTTTCTGGTCTGGCAGTTAGACACACCATTGGTCTGCCATTCTCACATTGCAATCACAATGTGAACTACCAACATCCTTCCTCCATCCCCCAACCCCACTATTGCATAAGTGTTGCCCACTCCATACTTCAGCTCTGAAGCATCATCTCAACTCTAAACGTTAGCTTGCTTTCTCTCAATGGCTGACCCACTGTGATCTCCAACACTTTGTTTTCAAAGAATTCCCCACTTTGTAAGGTATGACTCAATGTAGCAAACACACCTCAAAAGCAACAACGTTGTGGATTCAAATCACATTCCAGGACTTGTGTACAACCATTTAGGTTGACACTTCCATGTTTCACTGAGCGTTTGCTACACTGCCAGGGGTATTTGTTTTTTGATTGAGGCATTAAAAAGGCACCAAACACCCTTCTAGATAGGCAGAAAAGATTCCTTACTCTGTTTCAAACAGCAGGGGAGTTATACCTGGCATTCTGAACAATGTGCATTGCTTGATTAATACAAATAAAACCAGATTATCTAATTATCATTGATATTCATTGGACCATGCTGTACTTAAATTTGTCATCACGTTTTGTACATTACAATAGTGGCTACACTTCAGAAGTACTTCCGTGGGGATATCCAGCATTATGAACACAATACAAACAATTTGTTGTATTTTGACTTGACTGCAGGCTAAACTATAGGCAGAGCACTAATTTTGACATTCATTCACATTACACATGCCTAAGCTATTTACACTGTACATAATTTCATAATCCAAATTTCAGGAACTCATGTTAGAACAGAAGTGCTTCCGTACACATTGTCTGACAATGTAGTTTTCAACCTTTGCAACCAACATGGCAAGTCCCTGAACTCAAGTCCGGTGTTTGAAGCAACGGGGTGCAAAGACTTGACCTTTCAGGCAAATAATATTAAGACAACCTCAAACATAGGCAGTCCTAATCAGTTATTAATGCTGGTCTTAAATAGGCTGCTTGGTTGTTCTTTTAATGGTGACCATGGGGAAACCTAATGATAGAGAAAAGCACACTTCAAAATGAAATGGAAGATCCTCAGATAGTTCAAGTCCTAGCCATCTGAATAGCAAAATCATGCAATTACGGAAAATTCAAACATTATGTAAAGACAATAAAACATTCAACAAAATTCATTAATTTTAAGGGTCGCGTTGTTAGATTGACATGCAGAATTAGAATGTAGTGTAAGAAAGTTAGGAAAACATTATTAAAGATAAAGATACTTTAACTGGCTTGCTTATGAATGATCTCCGTGAAGTGCCCATAATTATATATTTCTGCCCATTAACTTCGTTGAATATAAACTCTCTTCTCAGTCATGAAAAACATCAGCAGAATTATTAATAAAGGAATAGGCTTGTGTCATGCTCAATATAACAATCCAATCCAGAAAGAATCTCAAACATCCAACTTTGCAGTTACTTATGTAGCCTTAAATTTGATTAATTGGCTCAAATTTGATTAAAATAATGGTCACCAGGAACAAGTAATCTATTAATTATGTTAGAAATATATTCTGAAGTGGCTTAGTCATGAAAGAACTTGGATAATGTATTGATCACATTAATATTCAAATTGTTTTCAAGAACAGTAAGGAACTCCCAGTTTAACACAACTGGTTTTTAATTTACTCACTAAGTTTGAGAGCAGCCAATATAGCTCTGCAACATTGCAATTCAACTTTAATATTTTCTTTTCAAATAAAGTAATGCATTTTATACAGAAGATTGAATTTTAAATATGAACATGCCACAGACTAAAAAAAACTAATTATAATCCCTAGTTAAATTCCTTGGGTAAAAAAAAAAATCAAAAAAGCATTAAATATGCTTATCCCAAGTTGAGATGGATTTACCATTTCATATACTTTTCTCTTGGAGACAAACAGTAGAGTTCAATTTTCCCAAATTCATTTTGCCATTTTAGATGGAGACAGAGGTACTTTGCAGCTCTAAGTTTATTCTATACATTATCTGCAGGGATCATAACTAAAGCATAAATTTCTCCAGAAAGAAGTCTTTTGTTGTCTTTCCATCCCATTGGGTACTAAATAGCTTCATTCAGCAAACAAAGTGGGTTTAAGAAACTAGAAGCAAAATTGAGGAAACACATTAACTGTTCTCAGGTTATTCCTGAAGCAGAACAAATAATGATTTCCACAAATACTAAGAAGGAATGTTAAAAACTAGTGTTTTCAGCATGCATGATTTAGTGATTTAGGTACAGTGAACAGTAGATTCCAGAACAGGCTTACCACATCATCCGCCAAAGTTTTTATGTTAAGGTTCTGTAGAAGGCAGAAAAAAAAAGAAAACATCACCTACAGCTGCAAAATACCCAACCACCATATCACACTTGCAAAGTAGTGGACCAGTGAACTTTAAAAAAAGGAGTAGAGTCTAGGAAGTCCAGACCTAGAAAGAAAATCCAAAATCAAAAACAAAATGGTTTTTGTTATTGCTCGAGACCCAGACTTCCCTTTTTGGGAGTTCCAAGCATCACAAACTGAACTACAATTATTTTAAACTTCTTTTGGCACAGAGTTAACCAACATTTTTTCCCCACAAAAACAATCCAGTGAAATTGCACACAAGGCTTTGCTGAAATTACCATACAAGACAAATATTAACAAAAACCTTATTAGCTTCTATTTAATAAAGTGAAACAGTTAATCACAAACACAAATTTATTACATTCTCCAAAGGGAAATAACTACCCCAACAAGTGTACTACATCACCTCATATCGTCCTTTTACAATTTTGTACCAAATAGTTAGTTACTAAGGTCTTCCTCTTACTCTTCCATGACTTCTCCACATCCCTATATGGAAGCACAGAGATCAGTTTCTGACTAAATTGGGAGCGACCAAAATCAATGTCAACACAAAAGAAACCGATTAACAATTTTCTATCTTTCCACATCTCTACATGCAAGTTAAAACACTCAAGGACTACAGCAATTTTACATATGTAATTGTGTGTAATCCTATGATGCACACCAACAGATTAGATGAAACTAGTCCATGCTAGTGCTCACTCAAACTTCCTCAGAGTTCCGAGGAAAGGTCACCAGACTCAAAACGTTAACTGTTTTTTCCTTCAGATGCTGCCAGACCTGCTGAGCTTTTCCAGCAACTTTTTTTTCCTCCTCCCGGTCTTTATCTGACTATTATAACCATCTTTACTCTTCTCCATCATATGTTTGCCTAATTTGCCTCAATGTATAAGATTCTCTCCAAACATGCCCAAACAATTATTCATCCAGAAGATAAGGAATGCAGAAGTGTCTCTGATTTCCATATTAGATTGTTTTCTGGCCATCTTATAATTGATGGCCTCAGTTTTACAGCACAGAATTAGGCCCTTCATCCCATCGATGACATGCCAGTTCATGGAAATATTTTTGAGATTGTCTTGAGGGCTCTTATCTTTACCACCTTTCTGGCAGAGAGTTCCCAACTCAGACAACGCGAGTGAAAAAAACTTTGTCAAATCTACAAAAAACCTCCTATTTATGACCTCAAAATTGTGTCCCCGGTTAGTGACCTTTATAAAAAGGGAAGAAGTTTCTCCCTATCCAACATACCCCTCAATTTTGTACATCCCAATTAGATCCTCCTTCTCCTGAAGAAAGGAATGCATCCCCAATCAAGCCTCTTTCTATAGCTGAAACTTTCCACTTCAAGCAACATCTTGGCGAATCTTTCTACCTGCTCGAGTGCAGTCACACCACCATGATGTGGCAACCAGAAATGCATTCCATACTCCAGCTGCAGTCTAACTCGCTCTTGCCACAATATGTAACTTCTGTATTCGCTTTAATCAAACCCTTTGACAATTTGAAAAACCACTATTTGGTGCCCCTCAGTCTTCAGTTTTAAAGAGAAAGAGCATTAGCTTGTCAACTTTTTCTTGATATGCAATCTCAGGCATCCCTTGTCATATTTGTAAACCACACACACACAAACCTCTATCTTTTCTATGATAGAAGCCAGTGCTCTAAAATGCAGCAGTCTAACTAAAGTTGAAATCAAGGTTTAGCATGACTTCAGTTTTCTGAATTTATCCCTCCAGAAATAAAACCTTGTGCTTGGTTTGCTTTTGTTTCGACCTTGCAAACTCATGGCACAAGTTTTAGCAAGTGGTGTTATTTAGAGTTCTTAGTTTAAAACAATAAATCAATAGCAAACACGTAAGTGAAAGCATCAAGTTATTTCAAATCGTTGTAATGCATGAGTTCAGACAAGAGGAATGTCCAAAGCTTAGACTAACTGGTGCACAGCTTCAATGATAAGGGAGATAGTAGGAACTGCAGATGCTGGAGAATCCGAGACAACAAGGTGCAGGGCTGGATGAACACAGCAGGCCAAGCAGCA